AATATCACAGTCTCTGCCTCGTAGGTTTATTGTCAGAATTAATTGACAAAGTACAGTAAAGCCCTTGGAACTGTGCCTGGCATATAAGCAATCAATAAATGTCTGTTGTATCATCACTGTTATTCAGCTTGGATTTATTGAAGACTTGTTCCATGCCAGGCCCTGGGCAATTCACTGGGCTACAAATTAAAGACATTGTCTCTGTCCTCCAGGAATTTACAGTCATGTAGGAGAGATCAGTGTATACTTAAATGATAGGTGTTATAAGACAAATACAAGCTATCGTAGCACAAAGGCCAAGTGATGGGTTCTGTCTTGGGTGTAGCCTGGGGCCATCAGAAAGAAGGCAGAGGATGTGGTCCCTGAGTGGGTTTGTTGTAGGTGCAGGAGGCAAGGATGTGCCTGACAGGCTGGAGGGGAGGTGCTAATATGGGTCCCTAAGGGCACAAGACTTGGAGAGTACAGAGCCTCTGGGAAACTCCAGGTAGTCCACAGGGTGGGACTGTCAGGGGAGGGAGGTGACACTGGAAGGGTGGTTCAGGGCTGGATCTTGGTGGCCTTGTCTGAGCCCTGCCCAGGAGCTTGGACTCTGTACCATGTGAAGGCTCTAGGGAGCCGGAGAAGGCTTTTAGGCAAGGGGAATAACATGATCAGATTCACATTTTAGAAAGTTTACTCTGAAAAATAGTAGGGAGAAAGGATAGAGGTGAGGCTGCAGGATACAGGGAGAGACTGGAGTCAGGAAGACCTGGGGGACTCTAATGTCTGGGGCACACGATGATGGGGCTCAACTAAGGCTGTGAGAGTGGCATGGAGGGGAGAACATTGGATTCAAGGCATCATTTGGGGCCATATTAAGTTGGTGGAGTGGGTGGGAGTGTGGGGCAGAGGGTTAGAAGAGCTGGAGATGACTACTGGGTTTCTACCGCAGGTGACCGGGTAGGTGATGTCTCATGGGCCAGGGAGGGGAGGATAGGAAGTACCGTTTGTGGAGAAAGTAATGGGTTCAGTTCTACCAAGCTGAATTTTGGGGGTTTGTTTTATTTTGTTTTAATGCCTTTTGAACAACCAGGTAGAAACATCTTCATCCCCAAAAGAGGTCTGAGCTGGAGCTGGTGATAGAGGAAGATTGTCTGGGGAATGCAGGATGAACAGGGAAGAGGGCTAGTGGTGGAGCCCCGAGGATCACCCATGTCCAGGATGGGCAGGAGAGTGAGAGAGGCATAGCCCTAGAGGCAGGTGGAGACCAAGTGGGCATGGAGCCGTCACAAGAGAGTGACAGGAGGAGGGACTGGTGGGCGTGAGGAGACCCAAGAAAGATGAGGGCTGGGAACTGACCTTTGGATTTGGTCACAGGGAGTTGCTTGTTGACCTAGTGGGAGCAGTTCTGTGGTATGGAGGCAACAGGTGCCAGAGAACTGGAACTAAAGAGTCAGTGAGGGCTTCCCTGGTGGCGTAGTGGTTGGGAGTCTGCCTGCTAATGCAGGGGACACCGGTTCGTGCCCCGGTCCGGAGATCCCACAAAGATTGTCTGGGGAATGCAGGATGAACAGGGAAGAGGGCTAGTGGTGGAGCCCCGAGGATCACCCATGTCCAGGATGGGCAGGAGAGTGAGAGAGGCATAGCCCTAGAGGCAGGTGGAGACCAAGTGGGCATGGAGCCGTCACAAGAGAGTGACAGGAGGAGGGACTGGTGGGCGTGAGGAGACCCAAGAAAGATGAGGGCTGGGAACTGACCTTTGGATTTGGTCACAGGGAGTTGCTTGTTGACCTAGTGGGAGCAGTTCTGTGGTATGGAGGCAACAGGTGCCAGAGAACTGGAACTAAAGAGTCAGTGAGGGCTTCCCTGGTGGCGTAGTGGTTGGGAGTCTGCCTGCTAATGCAGGGGACACCGGTTCGTGCCCCGGTCCGGGAAGATCCCACATGCCACGGAGTGGCTGGGCCTGTGAGCCATGGCCGCTGAGCCTGCACGTCTGGAGGCTGTGCTCTGCAACGGGAGAGGCCACAACAGTGAGAGGCCCGTGTACCGCAAAAAAAAAAAAAGAATCAGTGAGGGTTGAGCAGAGACAGCAAGTGTACACAACTTGGAGAAGCTTAGCTGTGAAGGAAGGAGAGCATGGAGTCTGCTAAGAGCATGAAGGGAAAGCTCTGAGGTAGAAGTATGAGCCCCTGAGGGCCCCTCGTCCTCCAGACAGTGGGTCCCCGTGGGTCCAGGGATGGGAGGAGGGAGAGGAGGAGTATGGAGGGGGTTACCCTGACAGCCTCCGTTTCCTCTGACATAGAAAAGGAAGTGGGCAGAGGTCGAGGAAGGTACTGGAAGTTTCTAGCCACTGAGGGGAATGGTTGGTGGAGCTGTGTCACGCCTCCTGCCCCCAGATTCAAATGGATTCCACTGCGGGACCAAATATATGTTTTAGAAGCATATGAGCATTTTTATGGATATACAGATTGTTTTAAGCGTTTTTAGCCTACAAGGAGAAAAGACTGGAAAACTATACTCCAGAATGTTAATAGTACTAATCTTTGGATGATTGAATCAGAGGGTGCATTCTTCCCTTTTAATTTTCTGTTCTCTATACATTTTTAAAAATCATGAACAGGTATTACTTTGGAAATGAAGAAATCAGTATGTTTTGTTCTCCCGGGGTGCAGTAGTGTGGAAGCTTCAAGCCATCCCTGTGAGATATAGGAACAGGGGTAGGGGTGGAGGTAGTGGGTGTTTCTTAGTGCACACGTGACAGCAGTGGCAAAAATGTCTCAGCAGGCCTTCCAACTCCCAGCCGTCTATCAAGAGTTATACAGAACAAAATCCCTTACCATGAACTAGTAAGTTCTGAAATCTGTGGAGATGAGCCCAGAAGAGCCTATTCTTTTAAAGAAAGAAAGAGAGAGAGAGAAAGGGAGGGAGGGAGGGAGGGAGGAGGACTCAGTCTCAGGGGCTGGCCCAGCTGCTCTCTAGCTCTGCGAGATGGGCTCACTGGGCAGGTGGGGTCTTGCCTGGATGGGAATGAGCCTTCCAGGAGATTTGTGCAAATGGAGTCACATGGAAGAGGAACTTTTAGAAAGGCTGTGCTGTTGAATGATGTCTCTGACTGTGGTCTGGAATAACGGGCAGTAATGAGGAGACCAAATGAGAGCCCCGATTGCCGTCGGTTCTGTAAAGCTCTTGTAGCCCTTTATGGGGTGGGGTCTCCTGAGATTTACAGCAAATTGTGGTGGTGGGGACCTTAAAAACTGGACCTGAAAAAAACCAAAAACGACCTTCATTTAGGAAAACAGCCCTATTGCTTCATCACCTTGGGGAAACGCTGTTCCTTGGTGCATTTCTCTTCCACACATGACAATAGTGACTTCCAGATGCGGTCTGTTGGCTTCAGGATCCACAAAAGATCACACAGTTACCCAAACTGGATTACTTTTTTACATTATAGAGAATTTAAAGTATGACCCTCTGGGCTTTTCTGCAACCTTCCCCTCTGCCTGAGCCGGCGCCCGTCCCAAGCCCCTTTTAAAAATCCACTCGTCTAGGCAGTCTGGGCCCTCTCTTACCTTTGTGAAGACTTCCAGACCCTGACCCTTCACTGGTGCCTTAAGGGGGAACCCTCAGGTGTCTCAAGGTGAGACAAGTCATAGCACTTCGGTTACAAAATTCAGGAAAGTTGGTCATACTCTTACTTTGCATAGCTCTTTCCTGAGTGTATTTTTTTGCTTGTTCTTTTAAATGCGTTTTTTCCTTTTTGCAAAAGTCACGTGTTCATATTAGAACATTTAAGAAATATAGTTAATAAATTAAAAATTACCTGTGATTTTACTACATGAGATAACCATTAATACTTTGTGTGTGTGTGTGTGTCTGTGTGTGTGTGTGTAATGTGTGTGTGTGTGTGTGTGTGTGTGTGTGTGTGTGTGTGTGTGTGTGTGTAATCTTTACCAAAATGGGTTTGTAGTCTACATACTGTTTGGGAATCTACTTTTCCCTTTAACAGTCTATCATAGACGTTTCCAATGTCAGTAGCTGTGTACTTTTATGGCTATTTGATGTCTAGAACTATAGCCTAAATGGCATTGTATGTACCAGGTAGTCCTTGCCTACCAAAGTTTGTTTGCTTTTAAAAGGTCTATGATAGGTTCTTCTGGCATCTGACTGTATTTTTCAGGCTGTATTTTTTTTTCCACTTCTCTTTTGAACTTTCAGAAAAAATTTTAATGAAATACTTAAGATAGTTGAAAGGGTGTCAAGGATAATATGACAACCACTCATGTGTTCGCCTCCCAGCTTTGTAAATTAAAAAAAAAGTTACAAAGACAGGTTAACCTCTTTATATGCCCCACCCTCACTTAATTCCACTCCCAGCCTCCTCACCACCAGAGAGGTGATCATTATCCTGTGTCATGTCTGGTTTTCAGCATCTTGGTGTGGAGAGCACTTGAATATCTTAGGGCAGTAGCTTACAGTTGCTTGTGGATTCATAAGAGCTAAACACAGATTACCAATCCATAACAATAGTACTGGTAAAAAATAAAATAAAACTTGATTCCAGCTTAAACAGAACCCAGTAACATTCAGAGCTGTGATTATGACCTGGGAAAACTGGACTATTAGATGTACCGCTCACCAGTGAAAATTCACAAAGACTGAAACTGTCCCTGAGAAATCTAATGTAAATCAAAATTGTAGTTGATGAGTCAAATCCTCACTGTAATATTTACATAGGAAAGGATGCATTCAATGAAAACCATGTTAGTAAAATGAAAATAGAAGATCATTGGGAACAATGTAACTGTCCAGTGTAGAAAATCATTCACTTTTCCTTGGGGAAACTCTTTGTCAATAACTTATTTTTGGTATTGGCGTAACTCTGAACAGAACCCACATGTCGTTGGGATGAAAATATCCTGTCCCCGTGTGTGGAATTGCTGCTTTCAAATGACCATCGCCTCTGTGGAATGTCAGAACTGAGGGAACCCCTAGCCTGACCCTGACACCTCTCTTCCTTACAGGGGGCAGTGCCCAAAGGAAATGCCACTAAAGAATTCATCGAGAGTTTACAGCTGAAGCCTGGGCAGGTGGTGTACAAGTGTCCCAAATGCTGCAGCATCAAGCCTGACCGAGCCCACCACTGCAGGTACACTGCCCCGGCCTGGGCTCCCCTCCTCACCCCCTGCGCCCCCGCCCTCGCCCTCCCTCCACGGGTGCCATCAGCAACAGGACTTCTGAACGTGCCCTGCTCTGGGCACGGAGTGACCACATTGACTCTCCATCCCCACCTGCACAGGAGGGCAAGGGTGGGAAAGGGTGTTTGGTTCGGGCTCAGGACACTAGGCTTCACCACACTTGCCAGAGGGCGCTGCCCAGGCCCTTGCTTGTTTCCACCCTTGTCTCCAAATCTGTAAAATGGAGGGGAGTCCTGCTCTTCCTACTACACTGCTTTATTACTTTATTAAGGGCACGTGAGACAAAGCTTTAGGAAATCATTCTGTGAATGTCTAGCCCCTGACACATTTAAGGGGCAGGTGCAGTTTCACTTAAATTTTATAGGGAAATGAAGGGGTTGTCCTTCAAAGAAAAGAAAGACTTTTCTTTAAAACAAAACTTCTAGAGGTCTGACAGTTGTAGAGTTCAGCCAAAAAAGCCATTTCCCTGTTTTATCTGTGGTGGTTTTTCCCTTTTACTTTTCAGATTTCTTTGTTGTTTTGAGTCTTCTTGACAAAGAAAACCTCCAGCTAAATATTGCACTTTATCATGATGAAAACTTTAAATGCTAAATTACAGAAATAACGAACCTGTCACTTAGTCCCTTTTTCACACTAGCGTGTGTTCGGGGTGGGGAGGGGCTGTGGAGGAATGAACTGGCTCCTGATGTCAGGAGGTATCGTCGTCCTGAGGCTGTGGAAGCATCTGGGTTTTGTGCGAGGTCTGAGAGGCTGAAAGGTGGCTTTTCCGTGCGGGCCACACTGCCCACCTTTTGGAGGAGGGCAGTCGGTCTCAACATCCAGATGCCATGGTCAGCTCCCAATACCTTCTGTGTCTCAGGTACCTCAGCCCACCCTGTCTCATCATCGTCATCCCCATGGTCACCCCCAGAGATAGCTCTGCCATAGGCATGACCCTCCCTAGATGAGGAATTAAGGCTCAAGGCGGTTAAGTGGCTGCTCCAGGGTCACACAGCCGGTGACTACGAGAGACAGGATTGGTTCCCGGTGTGTCTGGCTCCGAGTCTGGGGCTCTTTCCACTAGAACTCTAGTTTGGGATGACTTGTGTAACTTGATATAACCATATGCATGTTTTTCTGTATCTTTTTCTGTCTGTCTGAGAGAGCGATCTGGAGACCTCCTCAGCTAGTTGCCACTTCTCAAGGGTGAGGGCCAAGGAGCTTGGGCAGGGACCATGGGAACTGCCATCTCCTGTGGCGTTTTCTGTGTCTGTGTCAGCTTGTTTCTGAAATCTGTGCTAGAAACTAATTCAAAGCTTTCTTCTTGTGCCTGAGATGGAGGCATCAGTCTAGCCTTTTCCTACCACCCCGAGGCTCGGGAACCCAGCTCTTTTCATCCCCTGGGTGATGTGATTCCTCCGGGCACATTCCTCCAGTGTGGTAGAGCGGGCTCCTGCCTTGAAGTTGGAGAGGTCAGCATTGGAAAGGCAGCGCTATCCCTGCCACACTGGGGACTGTGGGCCAGGCACCACATCTCTCAGAGCCTCAGCTTTCTCCTTTGTAAAATGGGTTGTTCCTCCTTAGCTTGTGAGGATTAAGTATGAATATCTATCTTTTAATGGAGGAATGTGTGAGCGTTGAGGATGTGCTGGATTTACATAGGCTGGACCAGAAACAGGGAAGTGTGAACTTTATAGAAAGAACTTGGGTGACCACAGTGGTTCTTTTCTCTTTCCTCCCTGAGCCCTTGGCAGCCTCCACCGCCTGGCATTTTCCTCACCACCTCCTCCTCACCTCTCTCCCCAGGATGATCCAAGGGAGGTATTCTTGAGTGCTAATAAACAAATCAGCTTGAGCAAAAGAAGAGCTGCTGATTCAGATGAACTTGAGTGAGGATGCCTGTGTGTCGCCTGTTCCTGTGTCAGGAAATGTATGCTGACACCTGCTCCTTTGTGATGGCTTGTGGTGGCCCAGGCCATCTGGGGACGCATGGTTTTGGATAAGCAGAATCCCCAGCACACCAGACAGAGCTGGGTTTGTGACTGGGTGAGCCAAGGGGCCTGCTGCCCTGCTAGAGAAAGTTGGTGTCAGTCTTCCTGCTCAGGTGAAGGGGCATGTGTCTGTGCCCAGCTCTTTGCTTCCTCTCCTCCCAGCAGTGTCATGGAATTTAAAACTCTTTTCCCTGAGCTCTGATGGGTACCACAAATATTCCCTGACCTTGTACCTGTAGGTGTTCTTCCAGCCTGGTGATACGTGGCTGGGTCTTCCTTCCAAGCAGGCTCCTTTCATCCTGGCGTTGAGGATCATGGAAGCCTGTGGAAATCCTTGGGCTGGGTGGGTCATGCTAATGGAGACAGCCAAGGTGTTAGGCTTATGTGTTAGGTTCTTCTTGCACAGGCAGTGGAGACCTCTGACCTTGGCAAAGCCTCACACCCCTCCCCACCTCCCAACAAACACACACACACTGAGATGAGACAGTTGGGGACTGCTTAGGGCCCCTGCCAGCTTGTTTATCAGTTACTGATAAATTTATATTGCACTAGCGTTGGTTCTAAAGCATTTTACACACATCATCTCTAACCTGAGAGAGCAGGGCTAGTTCTACAGAGGGTGGTTTGGAGAAGCTGAGTTTCTTTGCCCAGAGCTCAAAGTGGTGATCTGAGAGAAGTGTTCTTTCCACTGGCCTTACCCTGTTTGGGCACTGCCTTACCCCACGTTGTCTGAGCTGGGGCCAGGATGTTATAGATGCCTTTTTTGCTTATAATTTTAATCATAGTGAATGAGGTGTGAGATGAAAACCTATATGGGGAGCATGGTCCCCTTGGTACCTCCTTGCTATGTTTTTTTCTCTTCCTCTACTGTGGCATCCCAGCCTGAGGTGGTGGAGCCCAGTTCCCCATCTATAGTGTCAGAGCCTTCAGTCCTCCAACCCTTGCTAAGCGGAGCCCCAGGCTTGGCTCTGGGCTGTAGTGGTGGATGGGACATGGCCCTGACCCAGGGGCCTCCCACCCAGGCAGGGCAGATGCACTTGTCTGCCATGATACAGTTTGGTGGGTGCCTCTGTAGGGAGAGTCACAGGGCCATCACTTAGGGTGGGCAAGAGGACCTCAGCCTGCTCCTTGGGGGCTGAGTGCCAAGGAAGGGCCCTTGTACCTCCCTGGAGAGGAAGCATGAGCCCCAGGGAACCTGAATACACACGATCCAGTGAGCTTGTTGGGCTCTTCCAAGCTTGCGAAGGAAGTGCTCTGGGGACTGAAAATGGTAGGGAACCTGGAGGAAAAGGAGAGAAGCATCCTCCCTCTTGTAAAACCAGGATTTAAAAAGGCGGGGGCGGGGTGGGGGGGAGACTTCCTTGGTGGTGCAGTGGTTAAGAATCCTCCTGCCAATGCAGGGGACATGGGTTCAAGCCCTGGTCCGGGAAGATTCCACATGCCGCGGAGCAGCTAAGCCCATGAGCCACAACTGCTGACCCTGTACTCTAGAGCCCGCGAGTCACAACTGCTGAGCCTGTGTGCCACAACTACTGAAGCCTGCATGCTCTGGGGCTCACGTGCCGCAACTACTGAAGCACCTAGAGTCCATGCTCCACAACAAGAGAAGTCACAGCGATGAGAAGCCCGCGCGCCACAGCAAAGAATAGCCCCTACTTGCCGCAACTAGAGAAAGCCCGCGCACAGCCAAAAATAAATTAAAAAAACAAACCAAAAAAAATGGGAGGGGCCTGGGAAACCCTGAAGGTAGGAACACCCCAGATACCTCCATTGAGGACATTTGGTCTTTTTAGCAACTGCCATTGAATGCTTAGGACATGTCTGTGTCCACAGCGTCTCGCACAGGAGACACTGGAGTTGGTACAGGAGAGGAGTGCAGGCAGGAGCCCCAGGGAAGGTGGATTTCGCCAGGAGGCACGAGTGGAGAAAGGGCCCTCTGGGAGCCTTCCCTGGTTGCTGTGCTTGAGCTGCCCTGCTATGTCTGGGGAGGGGACACCAGTGAGCCCACTGTGCTGTGGGGACTGTGACTCTGAGGTGCCTGATTCCCAGTGGGGTGTCAGGGGTTGTGGAAGGCTCACATTTTTTTCTTCCTCCCCCTGAGGGCTGGTGCCTGAGATGAAATAGCCAGGCAGGTGTGGGCAGTCACCCCCTGGGCCTGGAGCACCCTTCACTTGGCCCACTGAGGGACCAGGCCTTGCCCTTGGTGCTCTCCAGGCCCCAGCCCCAGAGCCGTTCAGGCTGGGTGTTTTGTGAGCCGTGGGCCAGTTAGCCTCTAAACAGCGCCTCCAGCCACAGGCGTGGATGGACCTCCACCACCCACGTGCACTACCACCTGCCCCAGGAGCCCGCTTCCGAACAACTCTGTAAGCCAGAGGGAGAGGCGCCATCTTGGCATTTCCTGTCTTTGCAAATAGGAAACTCAGAGACCAACACGCTGGACAATTTTTGCAGCTCTCAGTGGGCTGTACTCCTGCCTGCTTCTAGAAGGATGAGTAGTGTTCTAATTTGGCTGCCCAGTGAAACTTAGCCCATTGTGAAACCCAGCTTCCCAGGGTTCACACCTGGCCTCTTCAGAGAGACTGGGAGGGGAGAGCAAAGGACAGATTTGCTTAATCTCTTAGACAGCTTTCAGAGGATGTCAGGCCATTTGGCACCTCTCTGCTGCTGAGCAAACACTGCCTCAGAGCACCCACCTGAAACCCCTTTTACAAAGAAGTACAAGTGGAAGAAAAACTGCTCAAGAGTCCAGAGCAGGGAGGTGGTTACCCTCAGGAGCTCCCCAGATAGGGAGGGGATTAAGAAACCCCAGAGCTGAGGAAGGACATAAAAGACATGGGCTACAGGGGTGGTTCCATGGTGGGAATGTGTTGGCTGAGGCCCAGAACGCAGGGAGCTTTACTGCCTACTTGTCTGTACTTTCAAGATTGTACACTGGGAACAAGTGTTACCTATTCTTTCATTCATTCATTCAAATCGGTAACATACACACACAGAGAGAGAGATTGACTGATCAAGTAATGGAGTTGCTGGTACCCGGCTTTCTGTTTATTGCCCTCCATGCCCCTTTCATGCGTCCTTTTCTTACCCCGCCTTTCTGGCTCCCAAGGAGATTTCTGGTGCTGGTTCAGCATCTCTGAAATGTGCCCATTCCTCATATGCCTGTGTTATCATGACCCCTTGAAGCTGTGGGAACAAGAAGGGTGGAGACCAGAATGACCCCACCACTCGTCTGAGCCGGCATCTGTTCTTACTTTCTCTTATAACAGTACTCACGTCCTGTGGAGGGCGGGGGGGTGGGGCGCAGGTCTGCCTTGCCACCAGAGCTCATGCCATGCTTAGAAAAGCCCACGCCTCACCCTTGGGGTGCAGGTGAGCCCTCCTTCAGAGTGGTCTGTGCTTCCCGGCCTGCGGTCTGGGAACAGCTCGCCTCCATGCCCAGAAAAACTCCTTCTGTGCCATCCCTGCCCTGTCTGTGGGTCAGCCAGAGCTCAGTGAGCACTGTGTGTGAGCACGAGGCAGCCTTCTCTTCAGCAGGCCCCTGAGCCAACCCTTCCCCCAGGGTCCACCCACCATAGCCCACCTTAGTAAGAACCTGAGATAAAGTTGGTTATGGAAACTACTCTAAAGAAAAGCTGGTGTAAACTAAGGGACTGTCAAAAATATATATAATTCTATTACTTCCAAGCTTGTATTTATAGTATTTCAAACTGTTTTGAACAAATACTGCCCCCAAGATAAATGTTAGGGAGCCTATTTTAATGAATTGAGAATGAAACAATTTTTTTTTTTTTTTTTTTGACAATAAGAAATCAACTAAGCACATGCTGCTGTCAAACATTGTTTTAAGTACATTACATATATTAAATTATTTAATCCTCATAATAGCTCTATGATGAAAGTACCATTCTTATTCTTTTAATTTTTTAAAACATATCCATTATCTCACACAGTTACTATTTTCTTCTTCTTTTTTTTTGTAATCTGAGGATTCTTGTAAGGACGTCAAGACAGATCTGTGTGTATACATTCATCTCTAGCACATACAGCAATATCATAAGGCATATCAAGAGAAGCTAATTTATCAGTTGTACAAAAAGTATAATAAAATAATTTGGATGTCACTCTATGTACTATATTCTAATATTACCACATTTTTTTCTCAGCAAGGAAAATTAATGCCATAACACTACCAATTTTAACTGCTGATTATTGTAAATAATATTTAACAATTGTGTTACAAGCAGAAACAAAGGCTTATTTGTATTCATCTTGGTATTTTCCCTTTTTATTTTATTTTTAATCTTCAAATTCTAAAGTGAATTTATACTTTTATATATATATTATTTTATTATTATTATTTTTTACAGTAGATCCTTGTTGGTTATCTATTTTAAATATAGCGGTGTGTACATGTCAATCCCAAACTCCCTAACTACCCCTCCCCCCCAACCCTTCCCCCCAGTAAACATAAGTTCTTTAAGTCTGTGAGTCAGTTTCTGTTTTGTAAATAAGTTCATTTGTATCATTTCTTTATATTCTACATATAAGCGATATCATACGATGTTTCTCTTTCTCTGACTTCATTCAGTATGACAATCTCTAGGTCCATCCATGTTGCTGCAAATGGCATTATTTCATTTTTTTAATGGCTGAATAATATTCCATTGTATATATGTACCACATCTTCTTTATCCATTCTTCTGTTGATGGACATTTAGGTTGCTTCCATTTCTTGGCTATTGTAAACAGCGCTGCAATGAACATTGGGGTGCATGTATCCTTTTGTACCATGTTTTTCTCCAGTATATGCCCAGGAATGGGATTGCAGGATCATATGGTAGCTCTGTTTTTAGTGTTTTAGGGAACCTCCATACTGTTCTCCATTGTGGCTGTACCAACTTACATTACGGCCACACCCCCGTGCCCCCTGCATCGGCAGGCGGACTCTCAACCACTGCATCACCAGGGAAGCCCCAAGAAACAATTTTTGATGAGCCCATCTATTGGCAAATGGGTCTTCCTGAACTTGAGCTTTGGGAGTAGTTGCTTTTGAGGCCCCATTAGCGTTGTGCTCTTGTTTCAGGTTCTTACTTGTATGGTCCAAAAAGGGGTGGGGAAAGCATTTGCTATCAAATAACAAAGCTTCAAACAGTCTCAGTCCAAAAATTATCCCAGTAACAAGTTAGTAATTTGCAAATTAGTGGGATTTCTGATCAACACTTAAGCTCAAATGACTTTTCTGCTGTTTGGGGCTAAGTGGATATTATCTTGGAGCTGCAAGGTCCTTAGAGGGGAACTTCCTGCCGCCATGTGACGCACCGCTCGTGACCCCACTCTGAACTCTTCTAGCGCTCTCTCTCGTCAGCCGCACCCTGGGAGGTTCCCTGGTCAGGTTTTTGGTCTTTGGGGGGAAATTAGGAGCAGCTGTACCCCATCTCATCCTGTCAAGTTTTTGGAAGTGCTTCTTTCTGTCCTCTCAGTAAACCAAATTCTCAGCCCACTGTTACCTCAGGAGACCAGTCTCTTTCTCAGCCATGTCAGTTCCAGCCTGTTTTTATGTGAAACAAGATAAGAGGCCTTGGAGGTGGATAACTGTCCCCTTGTTTGGAATGATTGTGACCCTGGAGGTCCTGGTCCTGCCTTCCAAGCCCCTTGCAACACACATGCAGCAAAACATTGGGTGGCGCCCTAGAGGCCACTTGCCAGGAGTGGTGCAGGAGCATGGGTTTTGAATCCCCTCGACCCTCCCGCCTCCGTGAGGACCCCCCTAAAGATCTGCCTTGCGGCTCTTTCAGTGTTTGTAAGCGGTGCATTCGGAAGATGGACCACCACTGTCCCTGGGTCAATAACTGTGTTGGCGAGAACAACCAGAAGTACTTCGTCCTGTTTACAGTAAGTCAGCTTCCGAATTCTGCCCCACCCTCTGTGAAGCAACGGAGAGCTCTGTTCCTTCGAAAATTGTCAGCACTCACAGTGTTCTTTGCTGCTGTTCAGAATAGTGCCTGGCCACGCAGACCTCCGCCTTTCTGCCAGAGCTCTCCTTGGTTCAGCAAGTGCCCGTTCCTGTGCCCTTCACTTGAGCATCTAGAAAATTGACTCAAGTTGTTTAGCTATAAGCAAGGGCCGTGTTCTGGGCCTCTATGCCTGGTGTCCGACCTAAGTAGCTAAAGAAGGCGGCAACCCTCCCTCAGCTGCAGGTAGGCGGAGTGTATCTAGCCCGAGGGCTGGAGGGGCCAGTGGCAGTCAGCGCCCTGACCTTTCAAGTGAGGAGCAGCAGCCGGCCTGGAGCCCCCAGGGCAGCCCAGGTCACACCTGGTGACGTGTGCTTGTTTCTGTTCTTTGTCCCACACGCTCCCAGTGAATGGCCGCTCACCTCAGACCCAGGGCTGGGGGCGGGGGACCAGTGGAGAAATCACCAGATGCCTCTCTGGCCCCCCTCCTGCTCAGCCCTCAGCCTAAGTGTTCCTGAATGGGAGGTTCCGAGCACCCTGTCCCGGGAGCCTTCACGTCCAGAAGGTTCTCACAACAATGGCGTCTGCACTGCTTTCCTGTTTCAGATGTACATAGCTCTCATTTCCTTGCACGCCCTCATCATGGTGGGATTCCACTTCCTGCATTGCTTTGAAGAAGATTGGACAAGTGAGTATGTGCCAGGGCTTCCCTCCTTGCTGCAGGGGGGCGCGTGACCCAAGCAGGGTGGGCTCTTTGTTTCCGTCCTGGTGCCAGGGGCCAACCTCATTTTATTAGATCTCCTGCAAGCCTATGGACCTATCAAGGAAGAAACAGCAGAGGCCCGAATATCTCTTCATGAAAAAAAGCAGCCCCTTAAAGTCAGTTCTACACATAAGGTAGTGAGTTGGACAGACCCTCTAGCCTGAGTGAGCCCAGGGAAAATGCAGGCCCCCAGCAGGGCGGTGCATTCCCTGGAGTGGAGCTGTGCCCGCAGAGAGAGCTTTTGCTTCCATGTCTTTAAGTGAGGAGCTTTAATTGAAGGTCATTTTATTCCAACCTTGCAGAAATCCATTTTTAACTTTCTGGCTAGGACATGGATAGTTTTTGTTAATTTTTTTTTTTTTTTGTGGTGGTTGTTTTTTTAACTGCTTAATCACAAATTTACGTTAAGATTGTAGACAAATTCTTCCTGTTTTTGAAGTATCTCATTTAAATGTGCAAATGCGGGCTTCCCTGGTGGCGCAGTGGTTGAGAGTCCGCCTGCTGATGCAGGGGACACGGGTTCGTGCCCCGGTCTGGGAGGATCCCACATGCCGCGGAGCGGCTGGGCCCGTGAGCCATGGCTGCTGAGCCTGCGTGTCCCGAGCCTGTGCTCCGCAATGGGAGAGGCCACAGCAGTGAGAGGCCCACGTACCGCAAAAAAAAGAAAAAAAAAGTGCAAATGCTGAGGAAGGAACTCCAACCACAAGATTGCATAAATCCTGAGGGAAAAATATAGATGCTGAAAAAATAAATAAAATTTAAATTTTTTCAAAGAAGAATAAAAATAAGTTATAAGGAAACAATTTTTAATACAGTAGTCCCACCTTATCTGCAGGGGATATGTTCCAAGACCTGCAGTGGAATGCCTGAAACCTCAGATAGTACAGAACCCTATATATACCATGTTTTTTCCTATACATACATACCTATGATGAAGTTTAATTTATAAATTAGGCACAGTAAGAAAGTATCTGAATTGCCAGCATCACTGCTCTTGCATTTTGGGGCCCTTACTAAGTAGAATAAGGGTTACTTGAACACAAGCACTGTGATACCACGGTAGTTGATTTGGTAACCGAGGTAGTAGGTAGCATATGCAGCATAGATATGCTGGACAAAGCGATGCTTCATGTCCCAGGTGGACAGAGCAAGATGGCGTGAGATTTCATCACGCTACTCAGAACAGTTTGTACTTTAAAACCTATGGATTGTTTATTTCTGGAATTTTCCCTTTAATATTTTTGCACTGAGGTTGACTACAGGTAAATGAAACTGCAGAAAGCAAAACCAAGGATAAGGGGAAGACTACTACAGATACTGGAGGAATTAAGAGAGGCCACCTGCTGGGCTCCATCTTTCACACATACATCTGTGAGACACATCTTGAGCAGAAACGTCGTATTTTCATTCTTTTTCCATTGATTGGTTCCCCCCTTCATTTCATCATTTTTTAGGAGTTTTGCTCTTCCTGCACATACTGACTTCTTAAGCTTTTTCTTGCTATTATTTCCTCCAGAACTTGTGAGGCTGTGAAAAGGACAGTATCTTTAGCTCCCAACCAGATATTAAGAGGCTTTCCCTGCCTCTGTAGTTTGCATCTGCCCCCCTTCTACAGTAAGTCTGCTACATACGAACAAGTTCCGTTCTGAGAGCCCGTTCATAAGTCCAGTTTGTTCGTAAAGTCCAACAAAGTTAGCCTAGGTACCCAACTAACATAATCCAACTAACGTAATTGGACATGCGAATACACATTCACATCTTTGAAAGTTCGCAACTTGAAGGTTCAGTATGTAGGGGACTTAGTGTATCTCCCTGGTCCTGCCCCCATCTCTGCCTGGCTTGACCTCATCTAGGGGAAGAGAAACCCCATGGGTATTAGTCACCTCAGGCTGCCATAACAAGATACCATAGACTGGGAGGCTTAAACGTTTATTCCTCACAGTCTGGGAGGCTGGAAAGTCCAAGATCACGGTACCAACCAATTCCATTCCTGGTGAGGACCCTTTTCCTGGCTTGCAGACGGCCCTCTCCTCTTGTGTCCTCACATGGCAGAGAGAGAAAAGCAAGCTCTCTGGTGTCTCTTTTCATAAGAGAACTAATCCTATCACGAGGGCCCTACCCTCATGACCTCTTCCAACCCTCATTACCTCCCAAGGGCCCTGGCTCCAAATAATATCACTTTGGGGGTTAGGGCTTTGGCATGTGAATTTCAGGGGGCGGTTTACAATTTAGTCCATAACACCACGTCTCCCCATTTTCGTGACTGCCACAGTTCCAGCCCAAGCTAGAGAGGGGAAGGTCAGGATGTTAGTGAGAGTTCATAGTCAGGAGTTGGTACAGGATCCATGCCCACCCTGTCTGCCTTGTCCTGCCCACCATCCTGACCAGCCCAGAAGCCAGGCAGGTACCTGCCCCAGCTGTGGCCACCCAGGGCCAGCCCGTCAGGCTGCTGGGCCACCCTAACCACACCCTGCCCAGCAAGGAACCAAGAAGGGAAGTCATGTGGAGGTGTTAAGTTCTGAGGAAAATGTGGGGAGATAAGGCATTTAGACAAGATGCTCTTACCCTGCCACCCATTCAGTGCTGACGTGTCTCTAAGCTCATTCCAGATTTATGTCCTTTTCCTCTCCTGACATTCCTGTGAGGGAGCTAGCAGGGCAGCTTGGAGGGGGCACTTACTCCCTGAATTCCCAAAGCCCAGTGAAGCCCAGCTCTGCCCTGCAGGATCAGACCCCTTCTGTCAGGAAAACAGGCCAGAGCACACTGGAAGAGCCAGAAACATGGGCCACGGCCCGGGTGTGACAGGCCCAGCAGCTGTTGGCAAGGGCAGGAGTCCTTGGGTAGTGAGTGCCAACCAAGGGGCCTGGACCAGTGCCACAAGTGGGGCCCCCGTCTCCCAAGGTGGTCCAGGGCTCTCCTGAGAAGCTGTCTTGCTGGTAAAGAGCCAGAGAAGGGGTCCTCTGCCTGCTCACCCCTCACCATCTCCCTCAGCACCTCTGCTTTTCAGTGGGCTGGGTTTCTGACTTAGACTCTACTCAGACAAAGGATTCTGCTGCCTAAAACAAAACCACACATCTGGTCAAACCTCACTGCTCTACAGTGGAGGGAGTAGAGGCCTGGAGAGGGACAAGGACTTGCCTCGGGTCACACCCAGGTCAGGATGAGATCGTAGTAGGGGCCAGGGGAGTGAAAGTGTCTGCTCTGGGCCAGGTGGCTCTTCCGTCAGCTCCCCAGCTTCAGGACTGACTGTCTCAGGGATGCAGATGCTCCTGAGAGCGGGCCTTCCCCGTGGGGCTTACTGGGTCAGGCCAAGCCCCAGCACTTACACTGCCCCCTGCCGAGCTGTAGATCCCACAGCCACTGAGTGATCCTCCAGACCTGGCTTTTCCTCTCACCCATGAGCAGATAGAGGCACAGGCATGCCCAGAAAACCCACGGCCAAACCAGGCCTGGACTGAGGCCCCCTCCACCTGTGCAACCTGCATTTTGCTCTCTGAGGAGAGGAGGGTCTCCCTGTGGTGTCATCAGGCCTTCGTGCCTCAGCTCTGAGTCCTTCTGGTCCTTCCAGACTGCTGGGCACTGTGCTGGGCACCAGGATGCAGACACCCGTGCTGTCCGGGAAGAGGGACGGAGAGCAGGGAGAGGTGTGTGTGAGGGAGGGGAAGCCAGCAAGGTCCAGCCTGCTGAGGAGGGCTTTCCTGAGGGAGAGCTGGTGCGGCCAGGTGTAGGAGAGGACGGCCCCTGCCATGGCCTCGAAGCCAGAGAGGAGTCCTGGGGGTGGCGAGGGGCAGCCCTGAGCCCCACATGTCCCTTCTCTTTCAGAGTGCAGCTCCTTCTCGCCACCCACCACAGTGATCCTCCTCATCCTCCTGTGCTTCGAGGGGCTGCTCTTCCTCATTTTCACATCAGTCATGTTTGGGACCCAGGTGCACTCCATCTGCACGGATGAGACGGTAAGCGAGTGGGCAGCCTGCTCACCATCTACCTCCACAGCTGGGGTGGGGGGAGGGCTGCTTGCAGGCCAGACCTGGAAGCCCAGCGGCCAGGCCCTGGGTGTGCAGGGCATTTGCAGTGACTCGGGATCGTCTTACTCCTCCCTTGGGACTGGCACTCACATCATACCAGGAATGGGGCCCCGCAGCCTCGGCAAAGGGTTCCCTTTTGTTACGAGCCCTTCCACCTTCCCGTGATGGTTCTGTCTTATACACGGCTCTGGGTCGGGCATTCTGCTAGGCACTGGGATGCCCTTCCCATCCAGTGGCCACAGGCTTGGAGACAGGTGGTGGACAAAGGCCACCCTGACCCAGGTAGCACAGACAGGGTCGGCTTCCCAGAGAAGGTGCCTTCGCCAACAGGTCCTGAGGATGCAGTCAGGAGACAGCCCAGCTTGGGCCCCCAGAGCAGTGGGCAGCAAGACCCGGCTCTGGTCCTCATCTGCTGCCTTCTACCTGCCCCCACCTTCCACCCTGCTCACAGCTCCTTCTCTGGGAGCTTCGAAGCTGCTGGCTCAGCCAAGCTGGAGCCCATACCCCTGGTGCCACTGCCACTACCTCTCAACCTTCCTAAGGTGTCCAAAAGCCTCCAGGTGGTCAGTCCGTGGCTATGATGTGGGCATTTCTTCCCTGTTTGGGTTTGGGGTCTGGGTAAGGGGCCCCAGGAGGAAGGGGCAGCCCTTAGCTCTGGGGTGAGGTCATGAGTCCCTCCTGGCTTCCCAAGGTCCCCTTCAGGTAGCAGCTGTCAACAATCGTCTAGGGTTCTTTGGGGGAACTTCGGCCGATTGGGTAGTCAGCCTTAGATGGAGGCTCGTAGGAAGACTCAGTTGTTGCTGCTGCTGCTGAGGCCCCATTCCTGTGGGTGTGGAAATTCAGCATGTGGAGAAGGACGATGCTGCCGGCTGCCAAGGCACCGCCATTTGGATCTGCGGCAATTCCCCATGGTTTAGAAGGTTGGGTGCCTCTCAGCACCTTTTTTCTTTTATAAGCATTCATATCATTATAAAAGAGTGTCTGTAAAAATGGTAGTCAATGGTATAGATCCAGCTGTGTATCCATGCAGTAAATCTGACAAACTTCTCTGCGTAAGACCTGCAGGGAACCCAGAGGTGACTATCTGGCCCTACCCGCTGTTGGGACACCCCCCCCCCGGGCCCCCCCCCCCCCCCACAGGCCACACAAGCCATGGTCTGGGGGAGCTAGAAGGAAAACTCTCATGGCCCTGGTCCTAGTTGTTCTTCCCCCTCAAGGGTATTCCTAAAGGGAGTCACATTGAAAGGAAAGGAGAAAGAAGCCAAGGTCCTGCAGCTCATGGGAAAGGGCATCTTGCCCTTGGCCTGTATTGTCCCAGGGCCCTAGGCTGTGAACCTAGGTGGCCGACCCGGACACCTGTTTGGGATGCATAGGAGAGCCAGGAGGGCCCATGACCTCCCACTGCCCAGACTCAGACTGGGCTGTCCCCTCAGGCCCCACCCCTGCACCTCCACCTCACAGAGACCACAGCAGACAGGCCCCTGGCCAGGCTCCTGCCAGGCTGCTTCTCCCCTGTCCTCCGGCCCCACCCGCTGACCAGCTCCTTCAGGAGAAGGGAAAAGGGAGGGGTCAGCCTGCTCCCCCAGGCCACATTTTTCTTGCGAGACTTGGCCAGGGGGTCATGCGAGCTCTGTGACAACTGCTGAGGTGGCCTTGGGTCACACTTCTCCCCAAAGGAGCACAGGAAGGCCTTTGCCGGGGCTGAGGCTGAGGCTGAGCGGTCTGTCCGTGCGGCCCTTCTAACCTATACTAATCCCTCTCCTTCCTCCTCTGTGGTGACCTCTCCCTCCTGTTCCACCTCCTCCACTGTGCCTCGCCAGTCCCGCTAAGCAGGGTGCTCCTTGGCCTCCCAGGCTGGGGAGCCTAACAGCACCAGAGCTGGTCCTTTGACTTGGTTCTTTTTTTTGTCTGCAAAGTGGTCATAGTAGCTTCAGACTTACCATGAACCATTCCCAAATTAACGGCTGTCCTTGGCTATCATGATCTCAAGCTCCCCGCCAGCTGAGGCTTCCTGCGCCCCAGCCTTCTCAGTGCTCCCATACACACAGCTCAGAACCAGGCCTGAAGCGCCTCTGCAGACCCAGCAAGGACTCACTTAACAAAACACTGGATTGCACAACTAGGAACAGTGGCTTAGGGGCCTGCTGACTTTGCTCATCTGTCCCTTCCTTCCTGGAGGGACTTATACATGTGTGCCTATATGCCCACCCCCCCCCAAAAAATATAATTTTTTTCTTTAGCACTTTTTATGAGAGAAAGAGAAGAAAAATGTACTATGTAGATAAGCTTCATGGCTTTAAAAAGGAAGCATTTACTCCATTCACCTCAAGCTAATGGATATCTCTCCCCCAAAACCACAGCAGTAAAGTGCTTGACTGAAAGTATGATTGTTCTTGTTTTCAGGGAATAGAACAATTGAAAAAGGAAGAGAGAAGATGGGCTAAAAAAACAAAATGGATGAACATGAAAGCCGTTTTTGGCCACCCCTTTTCTCTAGGCTGGGCCAGCCCCTTTGCCACGCCAGACCAAGGGAAGGCAGACCCGTACCAGTATGTGGTCTGAAGGACCCCTGACCAGCATTGCCACTCAGACACAAACCACATCCCAGCACTACCATCCAATCCGTTCTCATGAACGTTTAAACCGAAAAAGCAAAACAACTACTATAAAACATTTTTTTTAATGTCTCAAGTAAAATGGCTGAACATTGCAGAGAAAAAAAAAGGTCCCCATGTTTTATTTTTAAAAGATCATCCTTTCTATTTTTTTGGTGACCGAAGCTGCTTTTCTTTTTTCCTTTTTAAAATCACTTCTCTGATCTCTGGTTTCCTCTCTGCTGTCTGTCTGGCATGACTAATGTGGAGGGCGCTGTCTCCAGGCCATGCCCCCTTGTACTAACTGAGTCGTGACACTTGTGCGTGGATGGACCGGCCCGGACACCTGTTTGGGACGCATAGGAGAGCCAGGAGGGCCCATGACCTCCCACTGCCCAGGAGGCGGTGGCGAGCGCCCAAATGGGAGTTAAAACCTCACCGAAGATGGATGCTTACTCCTTGTGACCTGAGAGGGCCAGGATCAGGGATGGAGCCCTTAAAAGGGTCCTTGACACAGTGGCCTCATCCCCCATGTGAACACGATTCACCTCCTAATTCACAAAATCAGTTTCCTACCTTGTACGTTATGGGCTCTGGGTGTGTAGAATGACTTGTGGGGTGGGGGATGGAGATGAAAGGGGTCTTATTTGTATTCTGAGTCACCAGTTATACTCCAACTCTGATTATTTGGAAGAACGTGAGGAAGTTTTTCCGGTTCAGAATGCCTTTATACAATCAAAGGAAGAAGAAAATGACCCAGCTTCAGGCGAGCTGCGTTTCCCTCATTAACGTTTGCGTCTTCTCTGACCTCCCCACCTCCCTCCCTCTCCTAGCGAGGTGTCGGTTAAGCAGTATTACTGCCAAGTGAAACAGCCTCAGCTCCACCGTCAACCCCTTCTTCCTCATTTTGTAAATCCCTGCAGTGGGTTTACTTTGTGACATTTTAGGCCCATAAATGTGCACATACCCATGTCTTGTCTGTATTTTAACCTGGGAGACCATTATCCTGCGTGGGCTGACCGTGATGCAAAGACACCATTACAGCCAAACATTTTAAAGTTGAGAGATGGCCATCCATCCACTGGAATCGGCAGACACACCTAAGCCTGTGGCGCCGAAACTGACTAGTTTTTCCATTTGCATACTTGGGTGGTGAGTCTCATTTGAAGGAGGAAGGGCCTGAAGACAGTGGCAGGAGGTGAGGGGACAGGGAGTACGCATCAGATGCAGAGGTCGCAAATCCGAATACCATCTCAACATGGATTTGTTTTTTTAAGCGATCACCACAAACCTTTTTTTATCTTTTGCTTGGGGTGGGTTTGGGGTGAGGTTTATTAAATCAGCCCTGGGTGAGGAGAGACTTCATCTAGCTATGTGATCTTTCAGAAAAGTAAGTGGAACATGCTGCCTCTTTTCAATTCTGTCAGTGCTTCCACGTGGAAACAAAACGCAATAAAATTTTTCCAAAACCTGTTCTGGCTGAGCTCCCATCTCTCACAGTGTTACCCCTCAGGGAGAGCCGACTGTCCAGTCAACGTGAGTGTGCTGTGTTTGGGCATTTCTTTCATTGCTTTTAAAGGACATGTATGCATGCTTCCTCTCTTGAATGAGGTTTCTATTGTGTTGCCGCTAAAGGACGTTTACAGCCCCATCTTGGACAAGGTGCCCCCACCGGCCCTCTCTCCTCTGGCTCTTTCTGCTGCCTGAGTCCCTTCTCTCATGCTTGTGGGCTCCCAGTTGCTACAGAAAAACTCATCAGGTCTGTGGAGTTTGCTTCTAGGGTTGGGCCTGGGAGAGAGACCCATTTTCTTCTGCCCACCCAGCAGAAGGCAAAATCAAGCCAGAGGAAACCACTGGAAGCTTCCACACACGCCCTGGGACAGCGCTTTGAGGAGCTCTTCACCATGCCTCGGATGTTTAACCAAGGAACCCTGTGACCTTTCCTAAGTCAATTAACTTCGACCTGCCTCTGCTGTGCTATTTACGCCATGGTCAAGGCTGTGATCTGGGCTTTTTTTTTTTAATGCTGCTTTTAAATCTACTTTATAGCATTTGTTTCCCATGTGCTTTCAGAAGGGAGAGTAGGACTCAGGGAATATTTTTAAGTATTTGGATGCCTCAAAATACCCCATCTTCAAGGGCATTGTTTTAAGTGACCCAAGTTGGTTCTTCCTCCCATGGAATTTCTAAGGAATACAGTAGATAGTGCTGAAGATGTATTGAATTTTTTTCAAATCCTAAAAATAGAAACTCATCATTTATACTTAAGCATACCACGTATATCTTTCCCAGAGGGAGAGTCTCCTTCCGACATCCTGTATGATTCTGTCTGGGTTTTTATGAGCCCTTTGGCTGAAAGAATGAATTTTCCCCAGTTCTGAAGCCAGAGTGAAATGCTGTACTCAGAACATAGGAATAGCTCAAAATTCTCTGTGTCCTTCCTATTTCATCTTGTTGAGATGGAGAACGTTTTGCCAGGAGCACAATGACTAAGGAATGTGGCTGTCCTCTGCAGCATAGTGACAGGAAGAAACAGGCATCCCTGAGCCCTCCTCAGTATTCCCAGATGTCTGATGAAGGAGGACACCTCTACACAAAGGCAGCCCTAGCCTTTTGCTTCGGCACAGGAATCCTGACAGCACTGAATGGTGTGTGCATGGGAAAATGAGACAGTAGTAGCCACAGTCTTTCAGAATGTGGGCTCTGAGGAGTGGAAAGGAAAAATAATGAGGAAGGTGACTTGGCCAGTTGGATTAGGTGACTCCTTCCTGCCTGTCAACTTCCTGTTTGTGTTCGTAGCAGCCAGACTGACCATGCAAAAGGCTTAGGAGCAAACAAATCTGTGCATATTTGCATGGGCTTGGTGACGTCATGCACAAAGTGGATTCGGGTAGAAATGTATGTGCTACGTCTCCTTTTAATCATACCATTTCATCTTTGTAATACTTTTTCCTTGGAAGAACCCAAAGTGAGACATGTTGAGTTACCAGCTTTTAAAATCCAACTTCCTGGGGGCTTCCCTGGTGCAGTGGTTGAGAATCTGCCTGCCAGTGCAGGGGACACGGGTTCGAGCCCTGGTCTGGGAAGATCCCACATGCCGCAGAGCAACTAGGCCCATGAGCCACAACTAGTGAGCCTGCGCGTCTGGAGCCTGCGCTCCACAACAAGAGAGGCCGCGACAGTGAGAGGCCCACACACCGCAATGAAGAGTGGCCCCCACACACCGCAATGAAGAGTGGCCCCCACTCGCCGCAACTAGAGAAAGCCCTCGCACAGAAATGAAGACCCAACACAGCCATAAATAAATAGATAGATAGATAGATAAATAAATAAATAACCCACCTTCCTGATGAGGTAGGTTAAACAATGTTTATTAAACACTTAACGTGAGGTTGGCATCACACAGAAACCCCAGACCTTGAGAGCCTGGGCTGGGCTCTCCCAACTAGGCCAATGGGTTTTACGTTTTCCTCACTTGAAAACTTGTAGTGCTTAAGCCTCCAGGGCGAGCCAGCCAGTAGAAGTGAGGGGTTCCAATCTTAAAGGGGACCTTAGTTGTCAAAGATACGTGAAGAGAAGATTTTACTAGATTCCCTCTTGCAAATCTTGCTGAGGATGTACTGAGGCAGTGCACCTCAAAGTGTGGTCCATAGACCAGCAACATCCTCATCACCTGGGGACTTATTAGAGATGCAGATTCTCAGACTCCATTCCAGACCTGCTGAATCAGAAACTCTGAGGGGGTGGGGCAGCAGCGATCTGGATTTTCACAGCCCTCCAGTTGATGGTGACGCATGTTCAAGTCTGAGGATCCACTTGGGGCTTGCAGGGGTTGCTCAAAGGCCTGCTGATTAAGCGATCCTGTGTGCTGCGGGGCTCAGTGTGGTGCTGGGTGGGCTGTGCCCACTGTGAGCCCCTCTTCCCTCATAACCAGCGGCCTCCCCAGCCAATGAATGCTGAGAAAACAAGGAAAGTATTTGTTTGAAGGAGAGCCAAACTGTTAGTCTGTCCAGCAATCTTTCTCCACATCTTATCTGGCCAACTGGTTTCTGGACCGAGGGGCCCTTTGGGTGAAGAACCATCCCAAAAGGAGATGAGACAGAGTGAAGCCAGGGTGCTCCCAGTGGGAGCGGTGGCCAGTGAGTGATTAGAGCCTGGCGTGGCCACGCACATGAATGTCCTGGCCTTCGGTTTTCATCTGTGGACCTCAACACCCATGTGGCTTCTTCTTGTATCTTTTAAATACATATCTGCCTGAGAATCACCTAACAAAGGATAAAGGATTCACAGTGAAACAAAAACAAGCCACTGACGAGTCTACTCTCCCAAACCAAAGACTTCATTCCCCCACCCCGCTTTTTCAAGAAAAAAATCATTAATGACTTGAGCCTCGTGATTACCCTAGCAAAGCTGAGTGAGTCCCAGGGATCCCTCATCTGCGCGCACAGGAGCTGATGACGCCGATCCAAGGAATTATGAAAAGCGTTGCAGAATAGTGTTTGCAAAAACCTTCAGGGGGAAGACACATGCTCTGACATGGACATAAAGGATGCCCTGAATTTCTGCAGCTGAGGTCATGGGGTGATGGGGCCTTGGGCCCTGTCCTCAGTCTTTGGTTCAAATCCCTGCTCAGCTACTTCCTTCCTGTGTGACCTTAGGCAGTAATTTACTTAAGCCTCAATTTTCTCGTCTGTAAAATCAGGGAGTTAATCTAAATCACAAAATTGCTGTGAGGATTCAAAGAGAGAAATGAATGTAAATGTTAGGATGGTGTCTGGCACGTTGTATGGCTTTAGGGAATGTTAGCTCTGTTGAAGCTGTACTTTCAGACCATGTGCACAGCTGTTCATGATGTGTGAGATCAGTGTATTGGTTTGCAACAGAATTGTTTTAAAGAAATAAAAAATAATGCATTACACCTTGTAAAATACATATTGTTTCATGAAACTTCCGGGGGGAATGGGGCGGGTGTGCGCGCGCGCGCTCATATGCAACAGAAGCGTATTTCCTATTGTGGGCTGCGCTAAAAAGATGTGAAACCACTGATGAGGAGAGAGTTGTCTGGCCATCTCTGAGGAGGACACATTTGCATAAGCTGCAGCACCTCCGACTTTCTATGTCTGTCTGAGATGCAGGGAGCAGGGGGACCTCCTGCTCTTGCTCCGTGGGCCTTAGCTGAGTCCTTACAGAGCATGTGCCTGGGTCTCTGCCTCCTGGGGAGCCGTAGTCCTGGTACCTTCATTTTGGGGCATTCGTGAGTTTGTTTATAGATCACAGCTCATGTGTCACCCAGGGAGACCAGGCCCAAAAGGCCCAAGTCACACACTCCCTGCAAGAGGTGCTGGTTTAGGCTGTTGCCCCCTTTCCAGGGATCAACCATTCTTGTCTGCATGAGCCTAAAGTGGGTATCGCTGCTGCCTCCGCAAACCTCCAGCTTAAGAACTCTGCCTTCAGGACGCCTTTATATCCACACAGAACTCAAAATTGAGTCCTACCAGGAAAAAGAAACCCCACTGGCTCCTCCTGAACCTGAGGGTCCAGACCCTCAGCCTTTCTTATGCATCAGCTTCGTTTGGAATATTTTCTCCTCTTCAGACCCAGAGCTGACACTCCTGGATGTTTACTTAACTGCTGAGGAAGTTCATCTGGTGGGCAGGCCAGGCTCCATCTGGAACATTTTTACGGGCTTGCTGAGGAGGTTGGGTAGAGACCAAGAGTGCTCTTCTGGCAACATGCCACCACAGGGGAAAATCATCATCCTGTGGGCTCTCTTTTTTTTTTTTAATTAAAAAAATTTTTTTTATTGAAGTATGGTTGATGTACAATATTATATGTTACAATATATGATTGAAAAATTTTGAAGGTTATACTCTATTTATAATTATTATAAAATATTGGCTATATTCCCTGTGTTGTACAATATATCCTTGTAGCTTATTTTATACAGGACAGTTTGTACCTTTAATAACTTACTCCTATATCGCCCCTCATCTTTTCCCTCTCCCCACTGGTAACCACTAATTTTTCTGTATATCTGTGAGTCTGCTTCTTTTTTGTTATATTCACTGGTTTTTTGTATTTTTTAGATTCCACATAGAGGTGATATCATACAGCATTTGTCTTTCTCTGTCTGACTTATTTCACTTAGCATAATACCCATCCATGTTGTTGCAAATGGCAAAAGTCCTTTCTTTTTTTTTTTGCGGTACACGGGCCTCTCACTGTTGTGGCCTCTCCCATTGCGGAGCACAGGCTCCAGACGCGCCGGCCCAGTGGCCATGGCTCACGGGCCCAGCCGCTCCGCGGCATGTGGGATCCTCCCGGACCGGGGCACGAACCCATGTCCCCTGCATCGGCAGGCGGACTCTCAACCACTGCGCCACCAGGGAAGCCCTGTGGTAACTTTTCGAATCAATGTTTTTGTTTCTTTCAGATATATATCCAGGAGTGGAATTGCTGGGTCTTATGGTAC